TGGTGGGGGTGTCGACAGAAGGGTAGGCTGTCTGTGCATGTAAAGGTCAGCGGTCTATGGGAAATCTCTGTACCTTACTCTCGATTTTGCTGAAACTGCTCTAAAAATAGTCTTAAGTATATATTTATATATATTTAAAATATGAGAAAACATTGGAAATAGGAGTGGTCAGAAAGACTCTATTTGGGAAACCTCCATCTGTTTCAGGAGGCTCAGAGAAAATCATTCCTATGGGTGCTGCTGATTTGTAATAAACTCAGGCCCAGGAAACAGGCAGAAAACATTTTTACTAAAAAAGTTGCAGAAATATTAATGAGTGAGAAATATGTTATTAGAGAAAAATCAGTATATTGAAATGAAAATGATGGTAATATTTACCTAGTACTTACTACACGCCAGGCACTGGTAACGCTTTTACATGAACTGATTTGATACTTACAAACATTAGATGATGTAAGTACTATTATTATACCTGTTTTATAGGTGAAGAAACTGAGATAGTGAGAGACTAAGTAATTTTTGAAAAGGAGAACTGGGGTTGTGGCTAGACTATCTTCACTCGGCGCCTGGTGGAGCCCATTGCACTAAGTACTTGTTTTAGTTGTTTGACCACCTTTGGGTGAACTCCTTTAAGACCAACTTAGTAGGTGTCATATTTATGATAAGTTTTATTTTTGTAAAACTTTTACCCCTTGAGTCCAGAGAGGCTCTATGTTTCCCTTCCTCATTTTGCAAATTAGAGTTTGGAGTGGGGAAGGGAGAAGGTATAACAAGTTAGGATGTTATAACAGTTCGTGATGATTACAACAATTATGAGTTAATTTAGAACAATTTTAGTAGCATAATAAGAATATTAATGTGAGAGTTCAAACAATAGTAATTACATTTATTATTATTCTGTAAAAGTTTTGAATTAGCCATGGAGGAAAGAGCTCAGAATATCTGCATGAGAAAGCCATGTAGAAGGCACACATGGAAAAAAATACTACTATGGTATCCTAATAAAGAGTCTTATTTTAAGGTATTCTAATTTGTGGATTGCCTGAGTGCTTGTTTTGGACCTAAAGGCAACATCTGACAAAAGATCTTAGATCAGGGTACAAACCGCTAAGATATCAGGCTCTTTCATCAAGGGTTAAGTAGTAGAACACACGCCTGAACTGAGATATTCAACATTTTCAAACAAAGGAAACAGTAATGCAACATAGATTGTTTCCTCATCTGAAACAATGACAGGGTTGCAATACTCCTAGGTAGAACACACAGATAGAACACACAGACCTAGCAAACCAGCCATTCTTTCATCTTCAAAGGTAATGACTGAAACTGCAACTCAGTTTGATCAGATCACTCCAGTAAACTCACCTTACACCAGGTATCACAAATCCATCTACAGTTTGTAGAAAAACATGGACTTGATTGCTCCTTTGTGTGTGTGTGTGTGTGTGTGTACATGTGTGCTTTTATGTGTAAGAGGGGAAAAGAGAATAGATAAAATTTAGTGATAAGACTATTTACACAAATCTGAGTGTTGTTTTTATTGTGGTAAAAAAGCATAACATAAAATTTACCACATGAACCTTTTTGAGTGTACAGCTCAGTACTTGTATTACTGTTCGCAGTGCTGTGAACCAGGTCCCCGGACTTTTTTCATGTACAGAACAGAAACTCTACCCACAAAGCAACAACGCCCCCTCCCCCAGCCCCTGGCAACTACAATTCTACTTTCTATTTCTATGAATTTGACTACTTTAGATTCCTCATATAAATGAAATCATATAATATTTTGTTCTTTTATTACTGGCGTATTTCACTTAGCATAATGTCCTCAAGTTTTATCTATGTTGTAGCATGTGTCACAATTTCCTTCCTTTTTAAAGCTAAATAATATTTCACTGTATATATAGACCACATTTTGTTTATCCATTCATCTGTCTATGGACATTTGGGTTGTTTCCACCTCTTGTCTATTGTGAATAATGCTGCCGTGAACATGGGAGCACAGATATCTCTTAAAGACCCTGTTTTCACTTCTTTTGGATGTTTATACAGAAGTGGGATTGTTGGATCATATGGTAGTTCTACTTTTAACTCTTTTTGAGAAACCGCCATATCGTTTTCCACGGTTGTTTTTAATATTTGTTCTCAGAGATCTCACTGATAAATATTAGTTTTTTTAATTTGAGAAGAGGGGAAAATAGGCAAAGGAAAAGGCAGCTGGAGCCAAGGCCTCCTCTCCCCTTAAGCACAGCTTCCTCTTTCTAGTCTACTCCCCACTTTACTTCCTGTTGCCCAATGACAAATGCTACCGATCCTCTGACATTGCCACATTCCCAGCCCCTTATGGTAGGCAGAACAACAGCTCCCTTCTCAAATGTGAATGTGTTATGGTATATGAAGAAAGGGACTTTGCAGATATAATTAAGGTTCCAGATCTTAAAATCTGGAAATTAGCCTGGATTATCTGGTGGGCCCAATCTAATCATGTGAGCATTTAGACCCAGAGAACTGTCTCCAGCTAGAGCAAGAAAAGGAAGGCAGAAGAGAAATGCCCCAAAGGAAAAGCCAGAGAGATTGCAGTCATGAGAAGGACTCTATGTACCCTTACTGTTCTGAGATGTAGGGGGCCACATACCAGGATTGGCAGAAGACTTTATGGAGTAGGTCCTCAACCCCTGGGCTATGGACCTGTACTAGTCTGTGGCCTTTTAGGAACTGGACCACGGAGCAGGTGAGTGGCAGAGATCAAGTGGAAGCTTCATCTGTATTTGCAGCCACTCCCCAGCACTAGCATCACCGCTTCAGCTCCACCTCAGATCATCAGGCATTAGATTCTCATAGAAGCACAGGTCCCTGGCCCCAAAAAGGTTGGGGACTGCTGCTCTAGGGGATAGGTTAGCCCCTGATGGCAGCCTATAAAAAAAACAGGTACCTGTCTTAAAACTGTAAGGAACTAAATTTCGCCAACAACCTAAGTGAGCGCAGAGGTGCATTCTTCCCAGTCTCCGGAAAAGAATGCAGCCCTGCCAACTGCTTCATTTTAGTGCCACAGACCCATTTTGGGTTTCTAACATATAAAATTGTGAGATAACAAATGGGCACTGTTTAAGCTGCTACATTTATGATAACTGGTCATAATGGCAACAAGAAACTAATAAACCTCTGTCACACTCACCTGGGTCTCTCCTAGCCCTTCAGAAATGTGTCATGACTTTGAAGGTGCCAGCTGGAGAGCCTGACCAACTAATTCCACACCTATTTACTAATGGACAAGAGCTAGAGGGAGATTCTTTTTTTTAACACCAGCATTCTGGAGAGAGAGATTTTTTTCATTTGACTCTACTATATATCTGTAATAGCAAAAAGAATTTCAGACCTGGAAAGAGGAGAGATCAGCCTCCTGGCCAGTGATAGGGAATAATTTGGGACCAAGCAAAGCCTTGCCACCGCACACCTTCCTTAGGCACTGCTTTTGCTGAGGGCCGGTCACATTTCCATACAAGCCTCCTCTTATAAGCCTCTTACTTATAAAATATAATGTATGTTCATCGTTAAAAAAAAAAAAAAATCAAAGCCAGAAGGTGATGCCTTAAAAAACAAAAGTACCCTTGTTCATAGTTCCACCTTTCCAGAAAGTTGTCATGTAATAGTGTATTTGTGTGTGTATGTATGTATGTATGTATGTATGTATATGTATGTATCTATCTATCTATCTATCTATCTATCTATATATATATATTTTCTTTTTAAACAAAATCACTCTATATATGCTATTCTATAACTTGATTTTTTTCATTGATTTATCATTGTCTTATGTCAGGATATATAAAGCTGACTTGTTCCTCCGTTCTTTTTAATGATCACATAAAAATGGCTATAAGTAACAAAGGAGTAATTTACTAATTTCATACCCCATGGTTGGCCATTCATGCTGTCTGCATATTGTCATTAACATAAATGAATGTCCTCAGGTTCATATTTTTTCAACCTTATACCAGTATATCTAAATGATAAATACCCAGAAGTGGAATTACTGGTTTAAAGGGTGTGTACATTTAAATAGTGATAGATATTGCCAAAATACAATCCAAAAGTGTGTCAAGTTTATTCTCTCATGAACAGAGTACCTGTCTTGCCCACAGATACCTCTGCAACATTAGTCTTACTACATATTTTTTACCTTTACTAATTTCTTAGGAAGAAAATGTTTTCTCATTGCGTTATTTACATTTCTTTAATTTTCAGTGAGGTGTATCATCTTTTCATGTGTTTACTGAACATTTATAATTCTTTTCATGTCTTATTCACATCCCTTGCAACTTTTTCCATCAAGTTCATTTTTCTTATTGATGTATTCAACTTATTTGTATGTTAAGGAAATAAGTGTTTTGTCTGGTGTGCTGCAAATATTTTCCCCTGGTGTGTTGTCTTATGACTCTACTAATAGTATTGTTTGCCATCATAAATTATAAATTTATACATAGTTAAGTAGATCAATATTTATCTTTTAGGCTTTTGGTTTGTTTATGGTTGTGTCTTCCTTACTCCAAGATTATTTTCAAAATTCATCCATTTTTCATCACTTTCATTTCAGTATTTTATCCGTCTGAAATTTATTTTAATGTAAGAAGAGAGAAGGAATATGATTTACTTTTTCCCAAATGGCTAGAAGCTTTCCTAACATTATTTACTGAACAAGCCATTTTTTCTCTCTGCTATGAAATGTCATCTTTATCATATAATAAATTCCCAAATTAAATACTAAATTTATTCTGTTATTGACCTTTCTGCTTTGGTGTCATAGTTATATTTTAACTACGTATCTTTACAACACATTTTTATATTTTATTCCTTTTAGACATCCTCTAGTTCTCTAGTTTTTTTTTGGTTAATTTTTTCAGGTGAACTTTTTATGAACTTTCAAAAAAATTTTTTTTTTTTTTTAATTTTGATTGGACTCAGTTAAGTGACCGTGTTAGGAAGGCTTGATTTTTACTTACCCAGAGAGATGCCATGATATACCACCTTTGCCTTAAGTTCAGGTCACACTAACCTATTAAAAGAAAAAAAATTACTAAACTGTATAAATTGAAGATTCTGAACATAATAATCCACCAACCCTTAATCTTTAATCCAGAAAACAGAACCCTACATTCAAAGAGAAACAGCCTCTAGAAGAGAATGTGTCTTTAACATCAAGAAGAGGATGCGTCTTTAACATCAATTGGTCCATTTGCTAAACAAACATTTACTGAGCACCTACTATATACAAGGGATGGTGCTAAACCTGTAAAGGGCTCAAAAAAAAAAAGATAAAAATATCTCTGACTTAAAGGGTTTACAAATATGTTTCCTGGAAAGCCAATTTTTGACTCATTTAAATCTAGTAGAATTCTGCTGATGGCTGACTTCTTTTAACCAGGACAGACTACTATCATAGGGAATAACAACAGAAATGCAGAAAATTGTCCCCCCTCCCCCCCCAACACAAATTTTAGCTGGCTTCAATTTGATTCCTTGTATTTGAATGTGAAATCTCTATCTACATTTTACAAGGCTCCAAGCCTGTAAACAGCCTGTTATAAACAGGTACGCCTGCAGGGCAGACCATTCCTTGGTAGGGGGCAGAGGTGAAAAGAACAGTTCTTTGATGGAGCCCAGATCGGGAACCCAGGCATACTTTCCATAAGTAGACATATTAAAACATGCTGGCATATCTCCAGGGTTGATTTAGAAATGGAAGTTGCTCCCACCCATCCTGGAAACAAAATATTTTAAAAATTCAACGACAGCCTCAGAACTAAGTTCAACAGGAAATTATACCAGTAGTTCCAGTTTTCTCAAGCTCTCTGTGCCTAGTGCTGTCGGCTCTCTAGTTACAGGGTCTAATACTACTTCCCTCTGTCTCCACAGCGATTACAAGGTATCACTAGTTCCGTTTTTGCCTGTTAAAGCTAGACACAATTTCTTTGAGCCTCAGTTTTCTCATTTGTAAAAAAGGAGACAGGAAGGCTGTTGCTGGAATACAAAAGTGATAAGTGGCATCACATCAGCTAGAGTTTTGAGTTCTTACTACGTGCCACGTAATACAAAAAGCACTAAAAGGTCAATTTTGCAAAGCTAAACCGTTTTGTCATGTTTGTTCACTAGAGCATACAAGATACTAATAAAAAAAAAAACCCAACTCATTGAATGAATGAATGATTTAACATATGCCTCACAATAAACTAGGGAGCTAGGTGCCATTACCTGGTTCAAATATGGTTAAAGCTGATACTCAATATGTGTTGATCCAGTATAATTTGCAAATTATTAACAATTATTACTGATTTAAGTTTTAAGGTGTAAAGAATTACTTCATGGTGGAGGCCAAATGACCTTAACACTAGAACTTTAAACATCCTTTTCTGAAAGGAATTAGAGCGGCTACATCATTTCCTTTACTTCCTCCTCCATTCCTATTTCTAAACAGATTTCTCTACACACCCACAGAACTCTGGGAACACGGTTCTCGTTTTCTTTACATCTTTAAAGTCCCTTTTCAGTCAGTTTGAAGTTTTCTGCCTTCACGAAAGCCAATGGCGACATCTTTGCAGAATAATGTTTTAGTGAGTTACATTTTTTATGATGTCGATTTAAAAAAAGTTGCAAATGTGCTCTCCCTGAGGGTTGAGTTTTGCTGTCGGTATAGATCACAGATCCTTGGAAAGAATTTAGCTCCGGTGTAACATTTTATCAGCAGCCAGAGAGGGGCGTCCGGCGACCCAGACTTCTCAGACCACAATTTCCTATATATGGTCATTTGCAATCAAGTACTCAGATCCCCCACCTGCTGACTCAAATGCCAAATGCCACAGTAGTGATTCACGCGTCTAGTGAATGGGACTCTGTTGCAATCAAAGAAGAAGGTGAATCTTTTCAAGAAAATGTAAACTTCTGGACTTACAACGCCCAATATCTAAACACCTCTACCTCCTAAAAAGATTAACAAGAACAAAAGAAATTGCCTCCGTGAAGAGGACAACGTGTTCACAAGTATGGGTGGGGTTCCAAGTCCTCAGAACAGAGCTTGGAGCCAGCCCCACCCCTCCCGAGAGGCCCGGACTCGGAGGACCCTTCCGACGACGCCCTACTCTTTTTTGTTCCCAAGACCTTTAGGATTGGGGAGGAGGGGCGAGATGGCCAACTGGATCCCTACTCTGCCAGCTGTGAAGAAAAGAGAAGGGTCCAGGGCGCCCAGACATCTGGGTGTCAGCTCGTGCCCCGCGCTGTCCATACTTTTGCTCCCAGCACCTGTTTCCTTGATTCTTAAATGGGGGACGTGGACTCTGCCCGTGGAGGCCCCTCGGGCCCTGCACCTGCACTTGCCAGATAGGTTTGCGGCGTAGGCGCCAGGTCAGCCCCGCCCGAAACCCCGCTGCGCTCGCGGGGAAGTTGGGCAAGGCGCGCGGGTTGTTCCGAGCCGCGGAGCGGGCGAGGCTCTTGGCTGCGCGCGGGAAGGCGGGACTTACCCTGAAGCGAGGCTGCGGGGACTGGTGTGCGGCAGAACAGCCAGACAGGTGTGCGGCCTCGCGGGCTGGTGTTCGGAGCTCGTTCCCGGCCCGCGACCGTGACCGCGACTGCGACCGCACCCCTTCCTCCTGCCCTTCCTCCCGCCTCCTACTCCACCTGACCGCCCCCGGAGGCCAGGGAGAGGGAGAGAGGGAAGCCGCGCCCATCGGCCGCTGAGGCTCAAGTTCTGCACACAAACGCACCCAGCCCTCCACACTCGGGGTCGCTAAACTTTTCTGCCTGGTCTACCATCAACCTATCATTGAAAGCCATTTCCTCAGTTTTAACTTCTTCAATTACATTAAGTTCTCCAGATTTATTGCAACGCTTTTTTGTTCTAGGCACTGTGGATTCAGAGATAGTCCTCACTCCCCAAAAGCTTATGGCCTGGTGCAGATGGCGAACAGCTAACACTAATTAGCAGCCTATAACATTTACTTTGTGCCAGGCACTGTTCTAAATTCTTTACAGATATGCACTAATTTAAATCTTACAACAACCCTATTAGATAGATACTATTGTTACCCCCTTTATATAAATAAAGAAACAGGACACAGAGATTAGGTAATTTAAGCAATCACACTGGGAATAAATGGCAGGGCTAAATTTTTGAACCCAAGTAGTTTTTTTAGTCCCTCTGCTAAGCTTATTGGCTCTCTAGTATGAGAGTCAGAACCAAAGACTCCAGGAGATAATAAGGTGGAAAGGCATTATAGGCATTTGGAACAACAAAAGGAAGGAAGGAGGCTAAAAGTTAAAGCCCTACTTGTACTGAGGGAATTATGAGCAGTTATGTTTTGAAGGATGGACTAGAAGGTAAGAAAAGCTACTATCTATTGGGTATCAGTCATTGAAGTGGGTGATTGATTCCATCACCACTTTTATCTTCAAGGCAACTCTGAGAGGTGCTATTTTTATTAGAATTTGCAGTGGAGGAAACTGAAGCTTAGAAAGGTAAAGTGATTTACCTGAGGCCACATAAGTAAAAACTGTCATAACTGGGACTCAGTCAGCACTGGCCTCAGCCCTTATGTCGCCTCACCTTTTGGGCAAGGCTGAATTTTGAATAACGTGTTTCAGGTATTTGGGCATAAATTAGCAGTAAATGGGAATTATTAAAAGTTTTGAGGGAGACTGTCATGGTGATCTGATCCATCTTCTAAAAAGATAGTTCTGCAGTTCCCATTAAAAAATGAATCAGAGAAAAGGAAATTAAAATCCTATAGGGAAAGTATAGAGTCTGCCACTTGGAGTTCAAAAGTGAGAGCTAATTAGAAGTGGACTTGGGCAATTGTGGTGGTTATATCCTATGTTAAGTCAGATTTTACAGTTCTGTGTTTTGCCTTTCACATTAGTGGGTTCTCCAGATGTAGCAGAAAGTGCAGGGCTCCATAACAAAGCCCCAAGGGCAAAAGCAAAAGATGGAAGTGAGATAGGTACCCTTTTCTAAAGAGAAGCAGGTGACTCTCTTGGGTGAAGAAAATTCCAGGATTTGTTCAGAGGCCAAATTAGAGAACAACCAAGAAGGCTGGGAACAGCCTGACACAGAAATAGAGAAGAGCAGTATCTGAGTCTGTTCTCGCTGCTCTAACAGACTACCATAGACTAGGTAGCCTATAAACAGAAGGTTTCTCTTCGTTCTGGAGGCTGGAAAGTCTAAGATCAAGCCACCGGCAGATTCCATGTCTGGTGAGAGGCTGATTCCTGTTCACAGACAATTTGAAATCCCGGGATTCATATGGAACTTTCAAAGAAAATTATCCAGAACAGTAACCTAGAACTATCTCATAGGGTCATTGTGAGGATTGAATGAGTTAGAGAACATAAAGGAGTCATTTGCTCTTGCTTGCCAGATGTGACCAATATATTTCTTAATATTGTCCCTAGAATTTTACTAGCCTCTCAGTACACCATTCTAAAGGGCTCCTAGTTAGAGTTCTCTCAGGCTCATTTGGGGACAAAATCTCTATTATACACCATGACGTAAATAAAAAGGGTGCTACACAGACCTGACAAGCTCAGGGGGTAGCATGCAGGCTTGACAAGCCCAGTGACCTAAAGTAACCACACAGGATGATCTGAACACTAACTCCTAACTGGGCAGGTCATGGTGGGTAGTCACATCCCAGGCCTATAGCTTCCTTAGTAAAAGGTTAATCTTTACCTTACATGAGCTCTGTCTATTGTTCTTGTACATCTAAGATAATATACCTTTGGAATGTCAGAGTATTTTTCTTTCAGAGCCTTCAGAAACAGACCCACTGGCAACAAAGCACGAAGACACCAAACTCCTCGTCATTATATTCTTGTCCACTACCATCTCTATCTGCTGTAATTGTTAAAGGTTAACTATCCTGTGTCCACCAATGTAAAATAAATATATATATCTCCATTTTCCGCTTTATCCAATTCTAGAGATTTCCCCGCTTTTTCTTCCACCTCCCTAATCTACCACCAATAAATTGCATGTAACCTTCTTTACATTTTTCCTTTGATGCTAAATGTATTTAAAAACCCTGTAAAACGGCCTCTCTCAGGAGCATTTTCTCAGTCCATGGAGATCTTGCTTCTTGGCATGTCCTGAAAATGTGGCTCAAATAAATTCTTATTAGGGCTTTCTACAGGCTGCATGTTTCTTTTGTTGACATTTACTGGCTTCTTAATATTAGGTTAAGCCATATAATGCTACTGATATTGGACTATTTTTAACCTACAAAATCAACAATTATATGAGGTTGAACCCATTGAGACATTCTCAATATAATCTTCTCTTGCTCCCCGAATTTCTTTAAAATCCTAGTCTGTGAGATATTGAAAAATCTAAATGAGAACGAATTTTCGGCCACTTACTCCCAAGTTTCCTAAATGTTATGGCTATGAAATTTCAGGTCTCAGGGAACATTTTCATAGCCAATTCCAACCATTCATAGATTGGTGTCTGATACAGCTTCTCCACCGGCCCACTGAGAAATGTGTTCCAGGGCTTAGAGCATGCTGCGAGGCAAGGAACAATCATAGGAAACTGTGAGGAAGTGAAGCTTTTGTTAAGTCTCTGGCACTGTCTAAGGAAATCCCAAGCTTCGTTGTGGTGTCCTTTTCCCAAATTTTATGAAAACATGCTTTCTCAAGTCTTGTTGAGTTTGCAAATGTATCATGACAAGGTACCAACAAAGCCCTTCTGGTCACCATTCTTGGCAATATACATATTATACATATAGACTATATATAAACCAATTCTACAGAGGGAAAAGGCACACAAATGCACAGGTTTGA